ATTTGAACCAGGGACCTCCGGATTTCAAATCCAGCGCTCCAATCGGCCACACCGCCTCCACAGAGTTTACAGGAGATTTCTCGTTCAATGGAACTGTATTCATCTGGAATATGAATTATAAACGATTAGAGGTGATTTTATATCTCTAGATTCACGCAATGCTGTATTTATAAAACGTCCAGCCACGTAATGACGTCATAATTCCCCATCAAGCTTTGCAAAACTAAACATAGCGAAGTCATCAACGCACGCCAATTTTATGAAACCCAAAAATCCTTACTAGTTTCATTTACCGTTCGTTTTTCGCGTCATTGCCCTTTGCTGCAAGTTGTTTTTGATCAGCCTCATCTGATCCCTCGTCACTCTTGTTGTTTGTCTGTTGTTGGCGTTCATCTCTACCAGGGTTGTCTTCGTCGGAAGAATACTCTTCCTGTTTTTCACGGGCGGGTTTGTCCTTTAAGTTAATTAAGAAGAAAAACTGTTATATCAATGCTCAAATCCGTTGCCTAAATCAGTCGAGTCTCTCCTAGCATTAATCTCTATAACATTAACATTAATCAAGCGTTCTTTTTTCCTTCTTCCCGCGTTCGCCAGAAGAGAAAGAACGCTTGATCGTTGGTTAAGAAAGTTCTTTCCATCTTGTGAGACATGGACACAGACACACACGCGGACACGGGCACAGACACAGACAAAGACATAGACATTGTTTATTTTACTTGGTCGCACACTTACATATGGTAATGGCAGAGGTGACAAGCAGAGTCTACAGGAAGCACCGACTAGTTTACACATCGCCAAGAAAACAAAACAACAAATTAAACTAAACTAAGACTACATAACTACTATAAAATATCTAAAAATGTATAACAATGTATAAGAAGAGAAGCCCTAACAGACCATCTCCGAGTTACCCTCGTTTTGACACACAGGCAGAAAAAACTCAGAAATGGCCATTAATTTAAATAGATTCTATCTCTCTGATACGTTGACACAGTTATCAGAGGTAGAATGAACTAGTTAAAGTTTTGAAAATTTAAGGTGGCTCTGAACCTTATGTACAGAATTTTTTTTAAACTTTGCTAAAAGTTGCGTCTTATTATGATAATTAAAATCTAATGGTATAAAAAAATTCACCCTGCCGTTTTTGGATTATAAGCCCCTAAAGCTGTAATTAAGGGTGTTTTTAGCAGGTCATACTGTTGCTATGGTAACCTATTGAGTCACGAACGTGTCCACCAATGATTGGGCAGTTTTTTTGACACCTTGATTTTAGCATCAAGTGATTAAGAGTGGTTATAACGACCCATCAAAATCTAAGTGCTGGAAACTGTTTTGAGCCACCTTAAGTCAAAGTTTCTCAAAAATGCTCAATACGTGCCACATCAACCGTCTTTTCTCCTAGTTCTTGACTGGTCAAATTTTCGCGAGTTTCTACAGGTGACGTCATGTCCAAGAGGTCTGGGAACGACAGAGGGCTAGTGGACCGGGTGCAAGTAGATGTACCAGCCCTTTCTGGCCATTCATACAATGGATCTGTGCCCCTGTGACACAGTGCAGTGCCTCGTCCTGACGAGGGAGTGTAAGAAAATTGCGGCGTGGATGACGAATCGTGAGCGTTTTCGGGGGTTAATGAGCCTCGTCCTGATGTCGAGGTGGTATTGGCTGAGCCGGTTTGCTGACGAAGTTCTTTGAGTTCGGCTCTTTGCTTTTCAACCAAATCTTCCAATCTATAAAAAAAATTACGGAAATAAATAACAATAATAATAAGGTTTTGTTCACAGAAGCCAAACACTTTGAGAATATTCTACTAATCCTCTTTATTAAAATGAATATTATCCAATACATAACTAAACTGAGGTGTCCACTTAAGGGGACAAGTTTCCGTCCATCTTAGCTTGCCATCTACTCATGATACCTTGTGAAGTAGTCAAGCAATAAACTGGTCTATACACATGTTCTGTAAAGGCGACTATCTATCTACCTGTAATGACAAAATGGGCTAAGAGTGCGACACTAAATTGACCGGCTCCATTGTTTTCACGGGTGCCCCCATTATAGAGCCCTTAGGCTATTAAACTTCACATACACTTCAATTTGCAAAACAGAAGGTGCTAATGTCCTTGCTTTTAAAATGAATCATTTATCTCTCAACACTTTACAGGAAAACACCGCTGAAAATGCCAGATAAATAATTTAACCCCAAATGCGCCAACTATCGCTTATTATTTATCTCATTTTTAAAAACCGAATTATATAATCTCAATCTTTTTACGGGAACACGTACACCAGTGTTTTCCATATTTTGTAATGATTACAACTTCCTCGGCAGGTTCAATATCACAACAGACATAAACAATGAATTCCTGATTACAACCTGGAAGCGTCTTTTGCACTGAAGAGTTGTCGACGCAGATAATCGCAGAAACCATTAAAAATTTTTGAGAACGACTCTAGGAAATTAACAATTTCTCCAATCAAAAAATGTCAGCGAATTTCTGCTAAGGTAATCGAAAAGCGAGAAAATAAACAGGATAAATAAATTCGAAAATTTACAACAGGCAGATTTGACCATTATCTTGTTATATTTTGTGCGATTATGAAACATTAGCAATATTGGAAACAACTTGGTTTCATGAGCTGGAAATTATTTTGGTCTAATTCCTTAGCTTTGATAAAAAAATTGGGTTTAGAACAGGGAATTTTATGAACAGAACGGTATATGTTGTCTTGGAGATAAATGTTATATTTGAAACTTTACTCGTGGAATATTTCAAGCAAGAGAACATTTTATCAGTTCTCAATTTGGTGTCAAGCGATCTCACGAAAAATAAAATGTAGCAACAAAACTATCATTTAGAAGGACATGAAACATAAATTGCGTTAAATTATGTCCAGTTTTCTACCCCGTTGCGCTCACGAAATCATAGCGAAAGATCACCCAAATATTAAAAATTACATGAATTCATACTCAAAATTATATTACTCCAAAACAAATAATTCTCGTTCGGTTTTACTTACCAATCGCTGATACTTTCTTGTTCTGTGCACCAAAGCGACTGAAAGTTCTGTTTTGAATTCCGCAGTAATTATAGGCCGCTTTTCGCTAAAGACTGAACGAAAATTTCTCGCCGTAAAACAGTTTTTCAAAACTTTGTAAATAAAGCCTGCGCTCTCTATGGCAACACTCGGAGCGGCTCAGCTGTGTTATACAGGTTAATTTCTTCCAACCACAGTCCTTTTGAATTCAGAGTGGTTTTTATTGACATTTTCATGGGTTCCTTGACCACTTAGACGACAGCTCTGCTCAGGCATGCGCATTTCAGCAGCACCTGTTGGCGTGCAAGACAGTTCTTCAAGCGACCGTTTTGAATTACGAATCTTCCTAAGTTATGCAAAAAGTCCCCTGTCCGGGCTTCTCTCATTTTTCGTATAATCGTTATGTTAGTTCAACAAGTCGAATAAAATCGGTGGAGTTTTTATATCGTTGATCAAAAATATGATTTCTTACGAATTTACTTACAAATTCTCGCGAAAACATGTAATAAGAATTGAGAGAATCAACAAAAGGGATGTCGTTTTGATCTACCACCAAACTCTCAGAACTTGGGTAGAGACTAACGAAAACTTTTAAGGACGTGACTCGTCGAAACAAAGTATGGACCTACATAAACCAGTATTTTATGATACTAGGTTCTGGGATTGTTAGTGTAGACGAAGATAACATAAAAATATGGGGAAATTCTAACCATTTTTAAGAAAAAAAAAAAAACATTAAAAAAGAAACTGAATCTTCGCTTGAAACATGAATAATGAGGAAAAAGGACAGCTGCTACAATTTGAAAAAAAAAATAAAAGCCAAATATTCGCATTATCCTGTCAAACGAGCATGTACCAGTAATGACATATTGCCATTCAAGTGCTAACAAAATTACGACAGTTCGTTTTGACGTGCAAATTAAAAAGATGATCTCTGAAATTTGCATTTAAATGAGCGCTATCTTCAATATTTACTCTTCGGAAAACCATTTTTGTGCTCAAAGTGTTCAATTAACAAACATCACACGGATAAAAGAGATTAGCCAATAAAACGGAAGAATTAGGAAGCACGTGTGTTTCTAAACCAATCAGAATCGATCTCTCGCCTCATCTTTCCCGCCCTTCCGCTTCGCACGCGCGTTTTCATTTTGGCTTTTTCACAGCCATTACATCCATCCATCTATTTCATAACCATTTTTTTTATAAACCAGAAAGAGATGTGTATTTTTTCAACATCAAAATAAAAACTTTGAATTCGTTTGGGCTCGTAAACCCATCCCGCCCTGTTAAGTGGCTACCCGTTCCAGAACAAACATCCTTGAAAATATATCTTTCTCGTATTTGAGGAGTTGCGTTAGTTATCGAACGTCAGGAGGACAGAAATATGTAAACGTGTCAAAAATAAAATGAACAATTTACAGTTTTGTTCTTATTCCCCAAATCTACAGCGTCAGAAATAAAATATGACTGTTTTAATTTATGAAACAAAACTATTCCGTTCGTTTAAGTGACAAACAGCTAAAAAGCGATTGTATAACAACGTTTCAGTTGTTTTTCATGCCATCTGTACTTCGAAGAAAATGACAAACTCACCGTCGTTTTGCATCAAGTATTCCAGCAATGTCAGTACATAACTCAATAATCTTTTTCTGACGTTCGTCTTTGTCCTTTGCCACGTTAAATCGCCTCACGATACGCACAGCTTCTTCTGCCACTTGTAAGCGAACTCCCTCGTCTTCTTCGACTTCACTCATTTTTTGCCGCTTTCAGACCTACAGCGTATGAATAGCTTGTGTGATCAGCATTTCAGACTTTGACAAAATTCATATCTTCATACCTGTACGAACTTTAAAACCTTCCAAATAATTCGGCGGACATTTATACGACCCTAAATCCCAGCGCTCATTTCAAAACTAAACAAGGTTTCTTATTTATGTAAGTAAATACTTTGTTATCAGCCGCATTGAATTTAAGTGGATGCCACTTTTTGAAACATAGCAACACGCAAAATGTCAAGGATTTCGAAGTTTACCGACTTAAACGTTAAGTATTTACCGTCGTTCTCCCTTTATATTTTCTCCGGCGTCGGAAATCGCGAAGACTGAAGGTGACAATGTTGAGCGGCTTATTGTTAACCATATACTTAATGTTGTGTTTGTCACTGACTTTCAAATGCGGGGGGGTTTGCATTCTAACTACGCATACAACAAACTCGTGTCCAATATTTGGCTGCGACCGTAAAACGTTTGTATGATCCGATAAAATGGGTCTGAGAGCATGAAGAATTTCTTGTTTGAATTAAAACGTTTGAATCTCTTTGTATTTTGCAATAAAATGTCACTCAAAAGAAGCATTGGTTTTACAATTGATGAAATTTCAGAAACGATCGAGATAATGCAAGCTTCTTGATTAAATTGTTGCTGTAATTGTTTGAAACATATGCTAATTTTCTTCAATATAATTTCGAATATGCTTAGGAAATAGAACATCACGAACGAATTCGGGCGCATTGTAGGGCATTCTTGTCACATTAAACAGATTAAAGAGTTAGAAAAAGGCAAAAAAATCCGTTAGTATTTTCTAATTATTGTGGTATCTCTTATCGAGTAGAATTTAATACATCGAAATGAGAATATTACTAAACGGAAGGAAACTACTTTGATAAACGTATTTCATTGGTGTAGTTTACTTGTCGCTGTGTGAAACTGTGCACGTTTACAAAATGATCCGATTATTTTTGCCTTTTTTAACGAATAGGCAATCACGACTAAAAATACTTGATATTTTATCTAAACTGCGCACTGCTGTTATCTTCTGTAAATTAAACTGCGTTTTTTAAAATGAAAATTGAGAATATTAAACTGACAACATTACCTAGTAACCTTTGCAGCATCTTTTTACAAGTTTAAGAAGTAAATTTCCATGTTTGGTGAGGATTTGAGATGTTGTGCCTTGTGGCTCAGTTGGGATTTGAAATAACATAATTTGTCTAGACTAACGTGACATGTCACGTCACGTCACGTTACGTCACGTCACGTCACCGCATATCACCTCATACTATGACATGTTATGTCATATCATGTCACGTCATGCCATGTCCTGTCATGTCATCTCATACCATGTAACACCATGTCTTGCTGTCATGCTATCTGTTATGTCATTTCAATTATGGCATAGAGTAATTAGAAACATAAGGAGTAATGTTATTCGAGGTTTTTTGATAGAGCGGTTTTCAGCTGAGTGTCGAAAGTAATTAGACAATTACTTTGGTTTTGGTTTTGGTTTT